TTTAAAAAGAAAAAAATAGCAAGGGGATAGAAAGTTTTGTGTGCACGGGGAAATTACTTCTGAGGTCTATTCACATGCCCATTTATTTTGCTTTAGGCCAATTTGTGTAGTGCATTCTAGAGGGTGGTGAAAGATACAAATTCGGTGAAAAGGTTAGTATCCTTAACACATTGTTGGTTGGTTTAACTATTAATCAGAGATATCGTGGAGAATAAAGGGTTAGAGCTAGAGATGAGATAGGTTTCAATGTGGCTCAGCTGAAGCTGTAAAATGGGCAAGTCATTTAATGTTCTTCTGGCCTCAGTTGGTAAAATAAGGGGTTGGGCTAGAATCATAATTTGGTTCTTCTCAGCTCTGTAAGAATCAGTATCACTTCAAAAATGAGGTTTTACTGTTGCATGTATGGAGTAACAGGGTGTGTAGAACTAAGGGCTGGGAGGATGTCCCTTATGATTTTTTGAGCTTGGCATTTAATATTTTACAGCAAAGTTTTTAGTTTAACATAATTGAACTTGTACTAGATAGGGTTAATAGGCTAGAACAAAAGGTCAAAGCATAAGGCATTAGGCTTAATTAAGGGAGAGCAGGAGTGGCAGGAGTGTGTGACAGTTAAATGGGTTTCCCACAGACTAATGTCGGTTACAGTGCAACCATGCCTCAACTTAAGTGGGTTATTTTGTGCAAAGGGCAGCAGTGATTAGCAGTTTGACATGCCAGACACTTCTGGCCAATCCCATCTGTTTTAGAGGTTAAAAAAGCACACCTTTATGAGCTGATGGATTGATTTGTGTGCCCGTCTGGTAAAGATTAGAAGTCCAAGGCCAATGCAGTAAATGTCAGTTATGGAATATTGTACTTTCTCCATTGGCTCATTGTTTTAACCGTCAACTGTTTTATAATGGTGGATTACTGCTGTTTATGGAGTTGGATGCAAGATGGGTGGGGGAACAGGTGAGAGGGGAAGAAAAATATTTCCTAGATGGAATCGTGAATTCACGTATTCTTAGCAGGTGTTTCTTTCTTTTTTTTTTTTTAAGATTTTTATTTATTCATTGAGACAGAGATACAGAGAGAGAGAGCATGAGCAGGGAGAGAGGCAGAGGGAGAGGGAGAAGCAGGCTCCCCACCGAGCCAGGAGCCCAATGCGGGGTAATATTTTGTTCATTAACCTCCTGGGGAAGAGGAAAGGGAAAAGAAAAGAGAAAATGGAAAGAGGCATACACACACGTGCACACGCATACCCACTTGCTTTGTGGGTAGAATTTACTAGGCTCACTGTTAAAATGAAGTGTGTCTGAACCTAGACTCGGACTTCTTTCTTTCTTTGAGAGCTGGAGGAATGATGCCACTGATATAGTTCATTTTCAGTTCAAGGTTGTAGCCCATTTAAAGATACACAAAGGCTAGATTGTGGCTATAAAAATTGGTTTTAACATGTTCTCATATCCAAGGAAAGGAAAATCCTAAATTTATGTGGATGAAATAGAACTTTAGATATTGTGATTGTAATCGATGAGCTGTAGGAACAAAAGGCATTCAGTCATTTGGGTGGACGGAGGGAAGTGTTTTAGAAATAACAAAAAATTATCATCTTTATCAGGAAATTATTGTCAGCCTGAGATTTAAGTAAAAATGTGACCAAGAACACTGGAAACAGTATTGGAAGATTCTGGTTGGCCCCCATGCTTTTATCCTTGTCAAAAGATATGAACCAGGAATTGCCTGTTACGTAGGTATACACATTATGTTTATCATGTTAGACCCTCAATTGCTTCTTTTGGAAAGAAAATTTATTTAAAGAAGACATGGTCACTGAAAGTAATATGTGAATCATAATAGTAACTAGTATTTTTAAAAATATATGTATGCATTTATTTTATTAGTAAGCTATTCCAAAGTGAATTGGCTTAACTTATAGAGAAAAAAGGAGATATTTTATTTCTCATTTAAAAAGGACAAAGTGACATTATGGTATTGGAGTTTATTTAGGAATGTAGTACTTAAATAAATATGTATTCATCCTTGTGTTCTTTGTGGAGTAGCATCAGTTGAAACTATTTGGATCTAACACAGATTTACAGGAAAAAAGTCTTGCCCTTCTATACAGATAGAGAAGGTGAAGAGACATACATTTTATAATAAGGTTGTTTCTCTTTCACTAACTCATTTTTAAGTTACAAAAGATTGGCTTGAGTATAAAAGTACTTGGTTAGTAAATTAAATGTGGGAGATTTATCTAATTTAGTGGACAGAAACTTTTTTTTTTTTTTTGAGAGAGAGAGAGAGGAGGTGGGGAGGAACAGAGGGAAAGAGAGAATCCCAGGCAGGCTCCTAGCCCAGTGTGGAGTCCGCGTGGGGCTCCACCTTACAACCCCAAGATCATGACCTGAGCCAAAACCAGGAGTTGAACATTTAACTGGCTGAGCCACCCAGGCACCCCTGGATAGAAATTTAAATGAATATTCTGGTGATGTTATGTTAAACATAAAACAAATATTTGATGCTCTACATTTGTACTAATAATATAAACATTTTTAAAGTACCCCCTACATCCTATTTTAGTTTCCTTCTCTTTTCTCCAGTAAATTCAGGCGCCATTATTATCTAGTTTGTGTTAGAATTTTACAAAACTAAAGGGAGATACTTTGTTGGGTTAACTTGTTTTTGTGTGGTTTGATATATTCTGAAGTTTTCAAAGAATATGCATTGTCTCTCACAGTCTGTGGTAGTCAATTTCTGTCTGTTGTATTTCCTTCCTTTTACTAATATTGTATTACTGACTTTGAGACATGTAAAATTTTTGCATGAGACATGCAGAATAGTTGGGCATATGCTTGTTTAGGTTATAAAAAGAGAAAACAGAAACTTTTAATATCCTGTGTTTGCAGTTCTTGTCCTAAAAAATGTTATAACTTTGTAACCTGAATTTTAGTTGTTAGAAACTTCATGAGATAATGGAAAAAAATAATAGCTCTGTTTCATCTTTTGATTTTAAATGCTAGTGAGTTGTCCTTTACCTCTCTTCAGGCAGATTGATTTTAATAAGCCATAATATATGATGAACTTAATTCTAATGTATATTCTTAGTATATCTATGTATTTATAGTTATAAAGCCAGTGTTCATATGTGTGATATGTTTCAAAAAGAGAACTCTGCACCTGTTGATTGCATTAAGCATTTGGTATCTTTTAATGAGGTGGGAGAAGGTGCTATCACTGTAAGTGGATCATTCCTCCTCAGTAAATTGTGTACATTTTACTTTTTGTATTCTGTGACCTTGCAGTCAGTGACTTCAGCCCAGAATAGTTCCAAAGTCATGTAAATGAATGCAATTAAGGTATTGCTTATCATCTTACATAGTTCAGATGGAACCTTATTGGATAGAGAGATTTGTTTGCTTTATGAGGAAGGTCAAAATAAGGTTAAATTTTATTACATAAAATAATTTGGTAATGTTTTTATTTAGCTGCTGAAAAAGTAATGCCCTAATAGGAAATGATAATGCTTTTTTTTTTTTTCTTTAAACCACTGGGAGCTCTTTTCAGGGTTTTTGTTTGTTTGTTATTTCTCTCTAATAGTTATTCTATTTTAAGATGATACCTTATGTCTACTTCTAAAATTTTGGGAACATTCTGCCCTTAGTTATGATTCTGGGTATCTTTGACTCGTGCATGTAGGTGACATTTCCTGCTGCTGATGGAGGGTTGCTTAGGAGCAGCTGATGTATGTGCTTAGAGAATTTGTGTTAATGTCCAATTATCATGCCAGTTGGTGCAGGACCTCGGACAGCAGGATTAGAGTCCTGGTTCAGAAAGGAGATCTGCCACCCTACCAGGCTGATTGTCTGTAAGGGTTGGGAGAGCATTGACATAGATGCTAGAAGAGTTTTGCTGATGAAGAAATGTGTGTGTGTGTGTGTGTGTATGTGTGTGTGAGAGAGAGAGAGAGAAGTAATTAAAAGAAAGGCAAGTATTCTTCATTGTAGTTGGCCCATATAATTACCCTCTTTCCTGTCATGGTATTATTTTTACTTCAGCATGGTATATTAATTGAAGAAGTCTCTAAGATCCACTGATTAGTTGAGCAGATACTTACTGCACATCAGCTCTGGGCCTTGCACCATGTTAGGTATTGGAGGATTCAAAGATGAATGAAGGGTTCACAGTCACAGTGAAAATAATAATTAGCATGATGCAGAGAAAGGGGTCTGGAAGCATAATGGTCAAAGAGCCTGCTTTGGTAGAGTGTTGAGAAAGCATTACTCAAAGAAATTTGGTACCTCTCTGGTTTTAGGGAAACTGACAGGCACTGGTAAGATGAAGTAATGATGAAAAGTAGCTACTTTATTTTAGGAAGTTGAAGTTGCTATAGTGGAATCAGGGTGTCTGCATCATGCCTTCCTTATCCCCAACTAGCTTCACTGTCCATTAGCCTATTGATCAATATAAAGTCCCCTCAGCCACCACAGTATTAAAGTATAGGCCGTGTCTCTTGCTGGTCAAAAACTTTTCACCTACTCTTTTATTCCTGAAGGTATAAACTTTCCCATATGTTGATGTCATTCTGTATCAGAAGGCTTCTTATTCTCAGTTCAACATTTTTTGTTCCTAGTGGTCGAGAGAGAGAGAGAGAGAGAGAGAGAGAGAGAAAAGAGGTGTTTCAAACTCTGTATTGACTACCAAATCATCCTAATACCTTTTCTCTCAGAATTCTTCATCCCCATTAACTTCTCACTTTGAGAAAAGGTAATAGTGTTTATGTATTATAAGGACAGTGTATTTTGGTAAATAATTTTATGATGCAGATTGTTCATCAGATATGGTCAACTGCTATGCCCAAGGAAAGCATGTATAATGAATATTTTTTACCTTACATCTTTTTTGTTATTTTTTGAGATAATTTATTTTAGTCAGTAGTTAAGATTCCATTGTAAAACATGCCATTGAAATTCTTTGAGATAAGATGCAATTGAAGTAATATTAATTTTCTTAATTTTCAGGGAGCTTTTGGACTGTGAGCTATTTCAGAACTCTGTTCTCAGGACCTGTTATTTTAACAGTCAGGAGAAACACATCCAGAAGGTATTGTATTTTGTCTATTGCTCCATTCTTTTAAAATGTAGTTAAGCCTTTCCAATTATAGAAAGAATATTATGTTGCATTTTGTTATTTATTTTTCTTTAAGTTTCAGATATTGATTAACTAGTTGTTTGATGTTTATAACAGAGGAAAGGGGTACATTTCAGTGTTGGTAATTCTGAATTTTGGGTAAGTCAGTGAAAGCTGCTTTAGGGGGGTGGCTGGGTAGCTCAGTTGGTTAAGCGTCCGACTCTTGATTTCCACTCAGGTCATGATCTCAGGGTCATGAGATCAAGCCCCGAATGGGGCTTCTCACTCAGCTGGAAGTCTGCCTCTGAGATTCTCTCTCTCCCTCTACCCTCCCCCACTCTCTCTTTCTCTCTCTCATAAATAAATCTTGTTTAAAAATCTGGTTTAGATAAAAACAGTTTTGCCTATTTTAAGCATCTGAAATATTTACATTTTACCTTTTCAGTATAGAACTATTTTAAGGAATGTTTTGATTTGAAAATGAGATATTTGAGGCACTTATTTATCTAAGACAGTATGGAATATACATTAGATAATCAGGCAGGCTTAAAGTCCTTCCTGCCTTTGACAGCTCTCCCTTCTACTATAGGGATCAGCTGCCATCTACATTTCTGCCAGTCTTTTGTCAGGATCCATGGACACCTGACTCAGCCTCTGTCCATCTACGAAGATCCCTATCTGCATTATCACCTGTGGTTAGATGGGTGTAGCATAACAATTCCTCTGCTTGCAGAGCCTGAGTCTCAGGACATGTGATGTATTACTAGGAAGAAAGGAAGAAACTTACCTGTTTTGTGTTTTTGTCTTTTGCAACCCCAAGACCCCATGTGGATGTACCAAATGATTTGACTAAAGTCAGTGGTGAACACAGTCCCCTTTAGCCTTATCCAGTTTCCTTCTTAATATCCACCTTTAAACCTCCCCTAAGTTTTGTGTTTTCCTTAGAAAACTTGCCTGCTGTTTTGTTTGGAATAGAAATATTTAATAAAATAATGTATTTGTTGAAGTTGTAGTGAATAAGTCAACTTCTTCAAATGTATATTTTCTTATTAACTGGATATTTGTTATTTATAGTCACATGAGATAACACAGAAGTCAGTATTATGGATTTTTTTAATCACTTGTCAAGCCATGTGAATTTCTAGTATTTATAAATTTACAGTTTGTAAATTTATAAACTTACAGTCTTTTATGTTTCCATAGCACAGTATATTGAACTTTTAATGTAGTAACTTTCTGTGTTTAAAATTCTTCACCATTGACAAAGTAGCATTTTCTCCTTTCTCTTGTCAGTTATGAGAGGGAGAGTGAAAGTGAATAAGAAATTTAAATAAGCACGTTAGGACTATAAAAGAAATTGTAAATGGAATCCAAATATTAACTTTAATCTTGACTATGCATACTTTATCAGTGAAGGAAGTGATATGGTTGGAAACTCTGGATTTTGTGAAATTCAAAGTTATCTTTTTATTTTGGAAGGGGTTTACTGGTGTTTTATTTATTGTTTTTAAATTTAATTTAATTTTGTTATAATTCCCGTATAATGAACATACGGTGTTATATTAGTTGCAGGTATACAATGTAGTGATTCAGCAATTCCATACATCACCCCATTCTCATCACAAGTGCCCTCCTTAATCCCCATCACCTATTTCACGCTTTCCCCATCCACCTCCCCTCTGGTAACCATCAGTTTGTTCTCTATAGTTAAGAGTTTGTTTCTTGGCTTGTCCCTCTTTCTCTCTCTTTTTTTTCTTGCTCTTTTGTTTCTTAAATTCCACATCTGAGTGAAATCGTGTGGTGTTTGTCTTTCTCTGACTTACTTCACTTAACATTATACTCTTTAGCTCATCCATGACGTTGCAAATGGCAAGATTTCATTTTTTTTGTGTAGAATATATAATATTCCACTATGTATGTATATATATTCTGATTCTCTGATTCTCTCTATTCTGATGTCTCTCTGTCTATCTCACATCGTCTTTATCCGTTCACCAGTCGATGGGCACTTGGGCTGCTTCCATAATGTGGCTATTGTAAATAAGGCTGCTATAAACATAGGGGTGCATGTATCTCTTTGAATTAGTGTTTTTGTATTTTGGGGGTAAATACCCAGTAGTGTGATTGCTGGATCATAGGGTAGTTCTATTTTTAAGTTTTTGAGTAACCTCCACACTGTTTTCCACAGTGGCTGCACCATTTGCATTCCCACCAACAGTGCAAGAGGGTTCCTTTTTCTCCACATCCTCTCCAACACTTGTGGTTTCTTGTGTTGTTGATTTGAGCCATTTTGACAGGTGTGAGGTGATATCTCATTGCAGTTTTGATTTGCATTTCCCTGATGATGAGTGATGTTGAGCACTTTTTCATGTGTGTGTTGGCTCTGAGGATGTCTTCTTTAGGGAAATGTCTATTCATTTCATCTGCCCATTTTTAATTGGATTATTTGGTTTTTGAGTGTTGAGTTGTATAGTTCATTATATGTTTTGGATACTAACCCTTTATTGGATATGTCATTTGCAAATATCTTCTCCCATTCACTAGGTTGCCTTTTAGTTTTGTTGATTGTTTCCTTCACTATGCAGAAGCTTTTTATTTTGATGTCCCAATAGTTTACTTTTGCTTTTATTTCTCTTGCCTCAGGAGACACATCTAGAAAAATATTGCTATGGCCTATGTCAGAGACCTTACTGCCTATGCTCTTCTCTAGGATTTTTGTGGTTTCAGGTCTCACATTTAGGTCTTTAATCCATTTTTAGTGTATTTTTGTATGTGGTGTAAGAAAGTAGTCCAGTTTCATTCTTTTGCATGTTGCTCTCCAGTTTTCCCAACACCATTTGTTGAAGAGACTTTTTCCCATTGCATATTCTTGCCTCCTTTGTCAAGTAATAATTGACCATATAATTGTGGGCTTATTTCTGGGCTCTCTATTCTGTTCCATTGATCTGTGTGTCTGTTTTTCTTTTAATACCATACTATTTTGATTACTACAGCTTTGTGATGTAACTTGAAGTGTGGAATTGTAATACCTCCAGCTGTATTTTTCTTTTGCAAAATTGCTCTGGCTATTCGGGGTCTTTTGTATAAATTTTAGGATTTTTGGGGGGCGCCTGGGTGGCTCAGTCAGTTAAGCCTCTCCTTCGGGTCAGGTCATGATCTCAGGGTCCTGAGATTGAGCCCCCAAGTCAGGCTGTCTGCTCAGCAGGAAGCCTGCTTTTCCCACTGCCCCTCCTCCCCCAGCTCCTGCTCTATCTCCCTCTCTCAAATAAATATTTAAAATCTTTAAAAAAAAAAGTTTTTTAGGATTTTGTTTTGTTTTGTTTTAGCTCTGTGAAAAACGTCATTGTTATTTTGATAGGGATTGCATTAAATTTATAGATTGCCTCCAGGTAATTTAGACATTTTAAGAATATTTGTTCTTCTAATCCGTGAGCATGAAAAGTTATCTTTTTAAATTGAAGATAGGAATTAAGTATTACAATTAAATATTTGAAGTACAAACATTCAAATAGTTTATTAGTTATATAGAGGATTGTTACACTTTTAAAGTCATTATGAATTATCCATTTATGAAAATTGATCATGTCATCTCTAAGAGTATGTTTGAATAAAGTTGAACTGGTTGCTATTTTTAAAAAACTGCACATAGCGGCGCCTGGGTGGCTCAGTCATTAAGCGTCTGCCTTCGGCTCAGGTCATGATCCCAGGGTCCTGGGATCAAGCCCCACATCGGGTTCCCTGCTCCGCGGGAAGCCTGCTTCTCCCTCTCCCACTCCCCCTGCTTGTGTTCCCTCTCTTGCTGTGTCTCTCTCTGTCAAATAAATAAATAAATCTTGGAAAAAAAAAAAAACTGCAAATAAGTTTAGTTGTAGGATTAAGTAAATTCAAAATAGGAATGTAAATTTAAAATAGGAATTGGTTTTAAGTAATTCTTTTGAAACTAACTCATGATACTTAAGGCCCTTTAAAAAAAAAACCAAAAAAACAAAAAACCTTTTACCAAAGTATAACTTCATGTAGTCAAACAGACACTCTTACTTGCTAGTTCAGTGATTTTTTTTTTTCTTTTCACATAAGCGTACCCCACGTAACTAACACCCTACCTCAGAAGGCTGTCTTTCCTAGTCAGTGCTACCTCTATGTAACAGAAACCAGGCTGTGGCATTTTTTACTGTGTGTCAGTTTTGCCTGTTTTTGAACTTCATATGGTTGGAATCATGTAATATGAACTCTTGTGTGGGAGTTTTTTGATCAACATTATGTATCTGAGAGTCATCCATGTGTGTATTATTTGTCCCCCCCCCAATTGTCTATATTCCATTGTATGATTATACCACCATTTATTCATTCTACTGTAAATGGATATTGGATATCTTTCCAATTTGGGGCTACAGATAAGGCTGCCATGAATTTTTTTATATCTTTTGGTAGAAATAAGCATTCATTTCTGATGAGTGTTTGCACAGGAGCAGAATCGCTGAATCGTGGAGTATGTATATGTCTAACTTTAGTATAATACATACTTGCAGTGCTTTTAAGGATATTTGGGAAATGTCATTCAGTGTATCTTTTCATAATGAAAGATCATACTGTGATATAGATTTATTTTTCTCCAACTTTATGTAAACTCTAAAGTTGTTTTTTTAGGAGGAATGAAATTTTCCCATCTCTTAAAAATAAGTTGCCTGTTTTCTGATGCCATCATGGTATGTATGTGATTTGTGCAACTTAGATCTATCCTAACCCTACTGAAGGAGAATAGGACATAAAACCCTCCTATATATACTTAGTACTGTGGAAATACTGAAAATTAATTTTAAATTAAATCAGACATTTTATACATGAGGTTTTTATCTTATTCTTTAATTTTGGGATACCTCTTGAATATCTAAAATAATACACTCTTGAGTTACAAAAAACTTACCTTAGCCTTTCTGAAAAATATTTCTTTCTTACCTTTATCTGTGTTGTAT